AGTATACAATACACCCAAGAAATTTGAAAATTGGAACTCAGATAATTTTAACCAGTGCTCACTGCAGCATTATTCCTAATAGCCAAAAGGTGGAACCAACACAAGTTCCTACTAATAACTGAGTGACTTATCAGAACATGGTATGTTCATATACTATTTTCTGCCAAAAAGAGACAAGAAATTCCGATCCATGCTACCACATTGGTTAACCTTGAAGACATGGAAGTCATCACATATACATAAGGACAAATATCTAGAATAGGCAAAAGCAGAGATCAGAGTTATAGTGGTTACTAGGGGAGGGGCTGCACTGGGGAAATCTGCTGTCAGGCATTCTCCAAAATGCTAAAGACTAATGATGTCTTTAAAGACTAAAATGTGCCTGATTCAAGGCATGGTCTTTTCAATTGCTTTTTATGCCTATTTAAAAAGTTGGGCAATGAATAAGGATAACAGAATAAGAGTTGACGCCTTTAAATTGTTATGCTGAAGATGACTACTGCCAAAAGAACAAACAGGTGTGTCTTGGAGGAAGTGTACCCAGGCTGCATCTTAGAGGCAAGGATGGTGAAACTTCATCTCACACAATTTGGACATGTTTTCAGGAGCAACCAGTCCTTAGAATAAGACATTACACACAAAAAGAGAGAAAGGCCTTCAACAAGCTAGGCTGAGAATGACTGTCTGTCACAAGCGGCTCGAGCGTATCAGAGATGGTGAGGATGGTGATGTGTAATGCAAGGTTCAGATCTGTTGTTTATTGGGTCACAGGGAGTCCTGGTTGACTCAATGGTACCTAATAACCAACCACAGCAGGAAAGGAGTTAAGAAGCTCTGATGGGACAGTGAGCTACCTACTGTGCTGCTAACAGAAAGGTCTTCAGTTCTAATCCAACACTCTCTCCACAAAAGAAAAAGGGGGGAGGGGGAAGAAAAGAGCAACAATGAATGAATGGAAATCCAAAGTTCTCTGTAAATTTTCATTGAATAATTAAAAAAAGATTAAAAAAATATTTACAGTCTTAGAAACCCAGTGGAGGCTCACAATGAGATGGAACAGATTCATCAGCAGAGGGTTTGGTTTTTCCTTTTATGGTGAGTAGGTAAGGATCACTGGTGACAAAATTATGTGTTACATTGCTGAAATCCACCAGAACCTTTGTAAAGATGTGCAGTCTTCTCCCCTAAAGATTTATAGCCTTGGAAAACAGATTCTTCATGAGTTGGAATCAGTCCAAGGCAGTAGGTTGGGTTGGGTGTTTGGATTAGGGAAGAGGAAAGGAGTCATGAGTTACTGCAGTTGTTGTTAAGTACTATCCAGTCTGAATGACCCATTGCTGACACCATAGCAGTTTTCAGAGGCAGTAAGTCCCATGAGAGGAGACTGTCCATTTTTTCTCCTGCGAAGCAAATGGTAGATTCGAACTACAACCTCTGCATTGGCAGGACAATTCCTTACCACTGTTGTTGTTGTTATGTGCCGTCGAGTCGTTTGCGACTCATAGTCCTTACCACTAAGCTACCAAATTCTGTTTTGAGATTTTTATAAAACTTGATAATGAATGGTGATGACAGCAGAACATGGTCTCATTAAGGTCACTGGATTGTACAATTAAAAATTAAAGCGGCAAATTTTTTGCTATCTTTCATTACAATATTTTTTAAAAAATACTTCACGACAGAAAAGGTCAAGAAAGTCAACAATCTGGTCAAGATTTTAATTCAGAGTTGATTGTGAGAAATCGGGCATTACCAGGGTCAAAACTGGAGCTACTGTTAATCTGTGAATAAAGGACCCCAAGAACAGTGAGTTTCTGTTAAGTGGTGGGAAAAATTTGGAAACGGACAGTGAGTGGTGAGGATGACAAATAATGTCACTGAACTGTACATGTCATTCAGAAACAAAAATATCTGCGAAGTTTTTTGGGGGTTCACACACACACACACACACACAGTACCTTTCGAAACCACGAGGGTGTGAATACTTGAGCAGAGATGAGGACCGTTCAAGAAGTAGAGGAGGCCTCTAGAGGAGGACTAGTAGAGTCCTCCAACCACTCCAGGTGATTAAAATGTCACGTGATTAATTGCACGAGGTTAGGAGCTCCCTGAGACCAGGAACTGGGCCATTGACACTTGGGGTTTGAGGTCCGACTCCTCACCCAAAGCTGAGCGCCTGACCCCAAACTCGCTTTCCTGCGTGCCCAAGGCCCCTCCCATGGCCTGAGCCTGCTCCGCGGTCGATGCGAGGACGCCAAGGACTCCTGCAGAGCCGACTCACCCCTTGCTGCGTCCGGGAATTCTCGTAACTCCCTGCAGACCGCGTCCAATGCCGCCTCCGCCATGACTATGGCCCTGTCGCATCCAAGGCCTCGTTCTCGGCGCCGCCCCTGGGCCCTCCCAGAGTCCCCGGTGCTCCTCCCCGAGCCCTCGGCCCCGCCCCTTCCCCCTCCCCGAGGCCGTCAGACCCACCCCCCGCTCCTCCCCGAGTCCTCGGTCCCGCCCACCAATACCACTCCGAGCTCCTGGCTCCGCCTCTTGACCAAGATCTGGTTACTGAATCCGCAGTGCAGGAGTGGAAAGTACTTTGCTTACCCAACTTGGACATTCCAAAGTTAATAAATGATTGTATTTATTGATGAATTCATACATCAATACAAACGGACACGTTAAAAATAGCCCCAGCTCCATCCGAGCTAGGGGGAAGAGGAAAGCGCCGAGGCTTTGACAATGTATAAAAGTTATAAATAAGGGATTTTTCAAAACTGGGCGGGGCAAATCTGTAAGGGGCGCAGTTGCCAGTGGCCTCAGACATGCAGAAGAGGATGGGACGCGGCCTGATACCCCCCCCCCTTTGTGAGGAACAAGCTGGCTGAAATCAGGCAAAACCTGGCCTAGCGGGCAGACCAGAGCCTCATCTGGGGTGGGATGTAGCTGGTGTTTAGGGTGTGGGGGTACATACAGCCCAAGGGGCTTTCTAACCCTTGCAGGGGCAGCTGCAGCCCTGCCGGGGCCCACCTTCAGCTTTGAAAGTTCTCCAGGTCCAGATTTCCTTGCAGGTTGGCCATGCAGGAGGGTAGAAAAAGTGGGGTGAGGCAGGTTTTGATCTGTTGAAGTACACTAAAGCTAATGCAGGAGAGCTGGGTGTCTTTAGCAACTCCTTGTCCTAAAGAGAAAACGTTTGGAGTTGCTAAACTAAAGGGTTGGTGGTTTGAATAGATCAGCCTCTCCACAGGAGAAAGATAGGCAGTCTCCTCCCATAAAGATTACAGCCTTGGAAACCAGATGGAGGAACACTAAGTCAGAATAGATTTAACAGCATTGGGTAGTGTGTAGAATAGCCAGCAAGGAGCCCTGGCAGGGTAGGTTAAGTGCTGGGTTGCTAGGATGATGAAGCAGTTTCCAACCATTCAGATTTACAGCCTCTGAAACTCAGTGAAGGGTGGCCATGAGTTGGTCACCATGAATCTGCATCAACTCAACAGCAGGAGGCTTGGTTTTGGATCCAGCCAACAGGACCCAGCAATGTATTCAATCTGGTGCATGGTTTTGTGATCTGAAGCTGTGTCCTGACTTTAGAGATAGGTGGATACAACAGGGGCCAGAGACACATATTCTTCACCCAACTCCTTCAAGAAATGCTGCACTACTTGGTCCTACTCTACCTACCTCATGCCCATCCCCTTGTAAATGCTAACATCTGCCTCTTCTAACACTAATCTATCCTCTCACCTCTGCCACTTACCTATCCCACCTACCACCTTCTCAATGTGTCTCTTGGCCCCTGAAGCAATCCCATGTGCCTCCTTCCTCTTCAACTCTACTATCTGGAGCATCCATAGGTGCTAATACTGCTTTTGGGGAGGTTCCTTCTATCCTGACCAGAGAGACTCCATGGGCCATCTGATATTAGCTAGATTGAAAACACCAAAAATCCAGAATTTGGGCTTAGTGTATCCCATCTATTTATCTTTGTAAAGTTGGAGTGGGATTTGAGAGGAAACCAGGCACACAGATGTCAGTTAGCAAGGAACATGAAACTGTGTGTATCTATGTATAAAAGAGAGAAAGAATTTCATCTTGCAGCCAAGGTCCTTAGAAGGTGGGCTGGTGCCCTGTAAACCACAAAGAAAGTTCACACACAGGCTTCCAACTGAGAATCTCAGGATGCTGGGAGCAGATGGCTCCCTGACACTGGCAGCCTGGTGGAGACTAGGGTTGGAGAGAAGGAAAGGCCAAGGGCCTAAGGAAAAGTGGCCAGGGCTTCACATTTGCCCAGCAGAGGGCTTGCTGTCCTGCAGCAATGTTCCACAGCTGGTTCCTCAAGCTCTGGCCAAAGGGGAAGAGAGGCACAGGAATAGAGACAATGCTGGGGTCCCTTGGGAGTGTGGAATGTGGGCGCTCAGGCCCTAATACCAACTAAGGCCTCCAAAAGCCAGTGAATGCCTTGGAGAACCAGAGGGCCTATCTAAACTACAAAGAATAGGGGGAAAACATTTCCCTGCTCTGGTAGCCAGGGGAATGCAGCTGGTTTGGGAGCGAAAGTAGAGGTAGAGGTGAAGCTCTCTCTGTTAGCTGAAGGGCATGGAATTACCTCTAACCTCAGAATACCCTGTTGTATGCTCCCACCCAGGGAGCTGATCCCTGCAGTAATTTCAAATGGCTTCTAAGAAGAGATGGCCAGCCTTCCCCAGTCTGCCCAGATGGGGAAGGCTGTCCTCCTACTCCCCACAGCACCAAGATGACAAAGACCTAAGACCTACACCTGCCATGAGCCACTGGAGGGGCTGTACAGGCAGGAGTTCCAAGAAGGGAGGCAACAGTCAGGAAAATAAATTAATAAATACAAGGACTACAAGAGGAGCAGACAGAAAAACTGCTCCTCCTCTGAGTACTGATCCCTGATATCCACTCCAATCATCTCCGCAGATTTTGGTAAGTGGAGTAGGGGCTACAGTTTAAAGTCAGGTGAACAATCACTTGGGAGAAGTTTCTGGAGTTCAGAGCCTGCGTTCCATGCGCCGCTCCACAGCTCGAAGCAGCAGCTCTGAATATTGTTCTAGCAGGGCCTGTGTCTGCTCAGCTCCCACAGCTCCGGGACTTCCACCTGGGCTAGACGGCACTGCCCCAGCCAGGGTCTCTAGTTCTTGTCGCACTGAGGAGAAGGTGTCTCTGAGGAGCTGAGTGATGCGGCTTTGCTCTGCTGATGGCGTCTTACAGCTGACGACCTGTAAGAGGACTCCAGGAGGTTAGCCATAGGAGAGGGGATTGCCAATAGATACATGAAAGTGAGGGGCCTCTAGCCTGCCCCAGTACAGACTACATGCTGAGTAGGGTGACTGGGAAGTCCACATCCCAATTACAGCAAAAAAAAAAAACCAAAACCACCTCTGCCTCAAAGAATATGGATTAGACACAGAATTTCAGGGATACATAATCTGTCTTTATCATATCAGCAATTACTTATAAAACATGCTTTTTAAGGCTTGGCCTCTATTGAACTACTGTTATCTAGGATTGGCAAAGAAAAGTTTGAAAATGAAAAGGGGTGCTATCAATAACTACACTACAATATCAGACAAAAATTATGACTGTCCTGAGGAAATTAGGGCAATAATAGCTCTATATTGAATCCTAATATCTAAATTTCTAGCTCTTTGCCAAAAATGGCTTAAATAGCCTCTCCTGGCCTACTCTACTCAGGATGGTCCGAATTGTCCCACCATTCTAAGTAGCCACCCTAGAATTGGGGCTATCTCTAATATCCAGCACTACTGACAGGCTCAGCTTCCCAGGGGTCGGGTCCCTGCACTCACCGAGCGGTACAGCCGCATGGCCTGCCGCATGTTGCCCTGGAGCTCTGCCACAAGTTGTTCGCACTGCTCCAGGCTCATCGCTGGTGCTAGGAGGGACAGACAGAGCTCAATGATGACCAGCAAGCTGCCCTTTGGAGTCTCCCCACCCAGGGGCTATTCTGAGCAGAAGAGACCTATAACCCAGCACTGTATCCTCTCCACTTGCCTTCAGTCCCTTTTTCCGGCTCTTGTCCCTCCCAACACACACCTCAACAACAAACAGAAAACAAAGTCCAGGGAAGATCACCCCCAAAGTACAGGAAGTACTGAAGGGCTAGGCACAGGGAAAGCATGGACATTGGCAGAAGCGTCTCACCGTCAAGGGTGTGACATATGGCCCAACACAGGAGTAGACAGGACTGAATACACCAGAGGCTGGACACACAGAAATGGAATGGAGCCCAGAGAATAGCCGGAGAGAGAATGGGACAGGACATGAGAGCTGGGGAGACATGCACACCTGAGTCCTGGCTCAGGGCTGGCCCTGGCCTGGTGCATTCCATGGGGCTGGGAGTCTTCTCAAGGGATGGGGGCTGCAAGCTCTGAGGGCCTTGAAGGAGGCTGCTGACCGGCAGTTGTGGGGCACAGGGGTTGGTGGGCCCAGCTTGAGCTGAGCACTCTGTCCTAGGCTTGGGGATAACACCCTCCCCCAAACACACCCGCCTATCAGGTGCATTGTGAGCCTTTCCCAGGCCTGCTGGGGAGCCAGGCTGTTCTGCCTCACCAGGGGCCCGGCCCCTGGTTAGAGGTGAGAATGTGGCCAGGGTAGGGCGGTCAGGCAGTGGTTTGGGGATGTCCAGGACCAAGTGAGCCCGGTTAGGCAGAGCCAGCTTGCTGAGTGGTGAGACTCGGATGGGAGCAGGAGCTTGTGGTTCATTTGTAAGACCCAGGTTCTCCCCAACAGAGATGCTGCGGGATAGCTTGACCATGGAATTGGTGGTGGGGTTCTGGTGGGAACGGTGTCCACACAGATGGCCATCAGCCTGAACCAAGGAGCCCGAGCCCTTTTGGGTCTTGATCTCCTGGGAATTCATTGGGCCTGGAGGAGAGGCCTCATCTGTGTGGAGACAAAATATACACATGTCAGGTGCTGAGGAAGGCATCCTAGGTACTAGATTCAGGCCCTGGGAGCTGCTACTTCTCTACACATACCCACCAAGGGACACCTATGGACAAGCACAGTGACCTTTCAGGGCCATATTAGACCTTCCTTCCCTCCTTTTTTGAGTGCTGCTCAAGAAATTCCATATTCCTGCATCCTGGAACCAAACCATCGAACTCCTTACCTTGTGGAACTAGGCTGTGCACAGACTGGGATTTCTGGAGTCCGCCTAAGGGTCCAGCTGTAGCTGTTCTCTTGGGGGACCACCCACTGTCTGGGTTCAGACGGCGTCGTGGCAGCAGCACAGGGGCTGCCTGTTGGGGCCCAGCTTTGCTGGAGGAAGACTCTGCCTCTGGGGGAGCTCCAGGGGGATTGGCAGCATTGCTTCCCAGATGCTCACCAGATACCTGGGGCACCTGGGCAGGTCTCAACCTCAGAGCCAGGCTGGATGATGAGGAGAGTTCCCTACAGGGTAAAATACAGAAGGCACAGATGAAACTCAGTGCTCTACCATGCCAAGATGGTGAGATGCTCTCATACCACCAGAAAGGTGCTTAAGAGAGAGTTGAGCACAAAAGGAGATAAGGCTGGTGCCAAGCCAATGGTCCCAAACACCAGGGGTACAAAATTCTCTTGAGCACAGAGGACAGACACCCTGGAGTGAAGAAGACTGCACTTTGCCCCAGGGGCAGGACTAGCCCTGTTGTAAGTACTGGGTAGAAAGGAGAGCCAGAGGGCCATGGCAGAAGTCTCTGTACCTGAGTGGAGGGGTCTGCACTTGCAACAAGAATCGTGAGGAGATGCTTCGAGATTCCGTCCTCTCTGGTACCCGGACTGGGCCCCCTGACAGGGTGAAAGAAATCATGAATTAAGACACAGACTAAACTCTTGCCCCAAGTTCTACCTCCCCTAGAAGAAATCCTAGAGTTTGACCCTGCCCTTGGACCCTCTTGTTCAGCTAGGTAAGAAGGGGAGAAGGGCAGATTACAGTGGCCAAATCATGGCCCCTAGACCACACCTGGTGCTGCCCCATTGGCCAGAGTCTCAAAGTGTTGTTTTAGAAACTGCTCCTGGTCTGGGGTACGGGGGCTGCCTTCTTGCAGTCCATAGGGGACAGTGCCACCTTCATCTTCCTCCTCTTCCTCATCACCCTCGGCTGGCTCTTCAAGGTCTGAGGAGATGCCATCCACACTTAGAGGTTCCGTGCTCTCAGAGTCTGGACGTGGGGGGGGGGGGAGACACGCATCACACTGCGCTGCACCCATCTGTTGCCAGAGCCTACTCCCCAGCTTCAGTCCCCTGGCCTGTGTGGTCTTGGTCCCTGCCTCTGAGCTTGGCCTCACCTTCATTGGGGTGTTCAGGGCTGGAAAGGCGGCTGCTGCTGTAATCCACAGAGCAAGCACTGTCAGGGCTGTGCTTCTCTGAGGTCCTGTTGCCTGAGTACACTCTTCCCAGGGTCCCACGGGCTGAGGCTTGCACCTGGAACTCACTGTGAGCAAGGCCAGGCAGCATAAGAGAGAAGATCTAGTTAGCAAAGGTGAGCGGTAGCCCCACTGAACTCCTGCCTTCTTTGTCCTCTGCTTGTGAGTGGGATTAGAGATGAAGCAATGCTGAGGTTGTAGGCAAGCCCCAAGTACCCAGGTCCAACCCTCCCTGCACAGAGACACTTAGAGGGGAAGGGAAGTTAGGATGCATGGCCTCATGAGGTTGGCCAGAGCAGGACCCTTGCCTGGTATCCAGGGTGGGGCTGTCACTTGGCTCTGGGTAGACAATATCATCTTCGATGGGAGCAGACTCCAGATCTTGGGCAAAGACCCCTTCTTCTTGGGACAACAATCGGATAACGTGGGGACAGGAACAGGGATGGGAAACCTGAGGCCAAGGGGGCTTTTCATTCTGGGAACACACAAAGGGGCATTATTGGAATTGCTGATGTGAAAAAGGGGGTGTGAAGAAGAGGCAGAGATGGGCAAGGATTTGGTGTGCACCAATTCTGATGGGAAGCCAAATACTAAACACTCCAATCAGACTGTCCTCCACTGGTATTCTTAAACTTTTGGCAGAATTATATTAGTAAGTACCCTATGCTTCCAATCTCCATCCACCACTTAACACCAAGACTTTCATGTAGCCTACCCCTGGGCAAAGGCCACCTTTCCCTCTTCAGTCTAATTCCCTTCCCTGCACGATAGCTATACCCTACAGCCTGGTCAACCCATCCTGACTACAACTTAAGTTATTACTGTGCCACAGGAGCAGAGCAAGGAGAGCTAGACTAGACTCAGGCCTCGGCTACTGGCAAAGGACTGCTTGGAGATTTTTAAGGAGCTGGTAGAAAATTCACTCACCTGTTTAGCACATGCAACCTCAAGAGTCTGTTGACCATACTTCCTGGGACCAGATGGGTCTGTGGCCATTGAGTCCTGATGGGGGCCCTGAGAGCTTGGAGCTAGCGTCTCCAGCTGCCGCAGGTCCAGCATGGACCGGACACTCAGCTCTGCACCTGGTTGAGCCCACCGTCCCCTTCTTCTGGGTTCTTGGGTAGATGAAGAAGCCGGATCCAGGAACTCTGTCTCTTGAGCCTGATGTAGGGCAGAGGAATGTGGGAAGAGTAACAATAACAACCACACTATAATAGTACTATCAAGCACCCACGTAACTTTCTATATGCTAAACACCATTCTAAGCCCTTTACATGTATTAGCTCATTTAGTTCTCACAAAACTTTTTATTCCTATTCTCAGAGAGGAGGAAATTTAAACACGGAAAGCTCAAAAACTTTCTCAAGTCCCAAACCCGAAGCAGCCCTCAGGTTACAATGTAGGTAGTTTTAGAGTTCACGCTCTTCATTTCCTTTTAATCCTCAGAAGAGGAATGTCTACTCCTAGTCTTAACCTGGTATCATGGACAGTTCTGAACTAGGAGTCTCTAAAAATTTCCTGATGAGGACAGCCTCAACAGAGCCCCTCAAAGTCCTTTCACAGCACCAAGACCAAACCAACATCCTAGATTTAAGGCCCCTGTCTTGGTCAGAATGCACTGAAGACACCTGCCCACCACTGGCCCCCAAACCTGCTGCTGACAACAGGAGATACTTGTGTTTGAAATCCCAACATCAGAGAATCAGGGAGCAGGCTGCCTTGGAGCTTGCTCGAGGTATGCTTTTGGGACCCAGAAGAAATCCCTCAGTTTATTGGCCCTCTTCTATTTTTTTCCTCAATGAGCTTTTCTAAAAGTTCAGAGCTGAGATCGTCAGAACTACAGTTTCTCTAGAGTTCTGCTCTTAGGACCTTTGGTTCTCCTGAATTTAATAGTTCGACTCTGACATCTCACTACTACTTCCAATCTCAACCTGTTCTTTGGCTTCCCAGGTAAGTGACTGAACAAGTGGTGCAATAGACTAATCTTCATGCTTCATGTTATCTAGTCCATCAGAAAGAAATACCTGAGTTTCCTTCACCCCTAAGTAGGACCAATCCAGTTGCTTTAACACCCTCAACAAGCCTTTCCTTGGCCTTAACCATGGTGACTCACCCGACTCATCTCCCAGTGGGACAGGCTTCGGGGCAGGGCTGAACTGGGAACCGAGGCTGGACAGAAACAGACAGTCAGAGGGTGCATCTCCTGCCTGCCTACCCACTCCCAGAGCCCTGGGCTCACATCAGCCTATGTAAACACAATTATGCTCATTTTCTCAGCTCACACTGCTCACTCACATCCCATGGTCCCAGAAGGGCTAAGTCAAGTTATTCACACCAATTGGCTGTCTGGTTTCATACCAGATTTCCACAGACCTTGTTCTTTCTTGATATTCTTGGTAAGGATGGGCAGAGCTGGAAGTTCTTCTTCTGTTCCCTCATCTTCTCCGTCCTTGTCACTGTCTGATGAAAGAGCTTGTCCGGCAGAGAGCACTGAGGGACCCTCATGCCTAAATCCAAGACAAGGAAAGTCGTGGGCAGAGGAGGTACAGTGGACTTCGTGTGAGAAACAAGGTCTGGGGAGACAAAGTCACTGAATTACAAGTCCAGAGCGTGAAGGAGAGTCGGAAAGGTCACAGGGAGCAATGTGGACTCTCATCCACCACTTGCCAATATTCTGTTCTTACTGGTTGTGTCCAGAAGTCTTCTGGGGAGAGGATACTGGTCCTTGTTGCTTGCTCCCTCGCTGACGCTGGCGTAGCTCAGCCAGGCGCTGTCTCATGCTGATGGTCATCTCTGAGCTCAAACGCCACACGAATATACAGCTGGAGCAGAGCCACAGAAGTGGATCAGGGAGGGCAAGGTAGCCCTCTAGGTATGGCAACATTATCAGTTCCCCTCCTCTTGGACTAACAGAGAGAACAAGGCAAACGCCTACTGCCACATCAAGTCCAGTCAAGAAATATCTCAGTTCAATTCCAATTCCTAGAGATATCCCTGACACAGAGCCCTGAGATGCTACTTCCCAGAGAGCACCAACACAGAGCCCTGAGGAGAGAGGAAAAGGGGCAAGGTGGTTTGTGGCAGAGGTAGAAACTGTCACCTAGGAAATCTGATTTCTGCTCACCTGTCCCCAGACACAGAGATGAGATGCTTACAGTCATTACTAAATTTCATGCCAGTGACAATCTCTGTAAAGAACCAAGAATAAAGCCAATAAGCCAACCTGTTTCCAACCAAGTTTCCATCCCAGCAGTAGGAGTGGGGTTGGTTAGGAGAGTGACCATGCAGCTCTGCTAGGTCTCAAGAAACTAAGGGAAAGTCTAGTAAAGTTTCAGTGTTAGAGTACTGAGGCTACACTCACCTGAGTGGCCAAACATGGTGGCCACACACTCGCCTGAGGAGAAGTCAAAAATGGAGAGATTTTTGTCAGAGCAGCTGGTGGCAATGTAGATCCCTGAGGGGTCTGTCTGCACCTTAGAAGAGAATCACACAGCTGGAAGCACCAGATCCTCTCCACCCCACATGCTTCTATTCCTCAGGCCCCTAGCCTAATTCTCATCCTCCTGGGCTCTTACTTTGATTAGGGTGCCATCTTCACCCTGTGACCCTTTAAAGAGTTTCTTCTGCTTCCCACTGCTGATGTTAAAAATCCTGTAAGGAAAAGGTAAAGAGCAGGAAAAAAATAAACACAAACAACCAAAACCCAAAACCAAAACACTCAGCAGCAAAAACTTGGCATTCACTCCCAGCCTATTCTCTATGGGAATGTCCCCCTAACACCAAAGGGCCCAGCATCTCCTGGGTGAGGCAAAATGCTCAATCTGTAGGTGTGGGATGATACAAAGACCTACAGAAGAAAATAGATGCGAGACTTAGATGCTTAGAGCTGACCCTCCCCTCAAGGCCATGAGGAAATGTCAAAACGATGCCTACCGAATATTTCGGTCCTGGCAACCAATGGCTGTGTACTTCCAACTGGGTTCAACATCCATGTCATACAGGGTGGTCTTCCGTACCACGTGGTGTGTCCTTGTAAACTGTACTCCATCTCCAGACTACAGGGGTGGAACACACAGGCAAACTCCATGCTCAGATGTCTCAGCAGGCCTAGAAAGCCCTGCTGTCACCTCCCCACCGCCAGCCCCATCCAGGGAAGCCAAGTGCTCTCACCTTCTGTGCAGTACGGAAATAGATGCTCTTGTCTGCTCCACAGCTGATCATACGGACTTGCCCATCACTTGCTATGGAGGAGGGGAGCCAAGTTGTATCCACTGCTTTCACCCCAGGGCAACCTTGCCTTTGTCACATCCCTCCCACTTTCCCCACCCAAGTGACTCTACAAAACAGGAATCAACGGAATAAGGACACTTCCCTCTCAACTGAGGCTTTCCTTTCTCCCCCCACCCTCAGTCTGACCTGATAGGCTCAGTGTTATCCCCTGTGCTAAGGGTGTACATTCTACCTACTTCCCCATCCAGGTCAGGTCTCCAAGCTGCTGCCTGAGACTACATCCCCATGACTGGCAGATCCTTCTCTTGGAGTTAGGAGGAAGGTGGCACTGATGGTTGGGGTCATAGGTAGCTGGAAGTCTCAATCACTCTGTCCTACCTGCAAACTTGACAGCAGTGATGGAGGATGAGTGTTCGTCCAGTGTCTGCTGCAGGCTATACTCCCGCCCAGCATCCAGAACATGGATCAGCCGGTCCCTGCTTGCTGATGCTAGAAGCTTCATACCTAGGATTGGAAGAATTCTATTCGTTCATGAGGGTCCAGAGTCGGACCCTGTGTGGGCTCAACAAGGAGCACCAGATGAACTGATTCCCACAGCCCTAAGCAGGAACCATGGAGCCCAAAGTGAACTATGGGGCACAACAGAGCTGAGGTTCAGTTTTCTCACAAGTGTTCAAAGACACCAAAGGTTGACCAAATTTTCTGATGACCCAAAGGACTATGATCCATACATTCAAGAGCCAGGGTAAATATTGGCGCTGGCAGAACTGGAAGAACTCTGTGCTACTCTAGGCCAGGTGCCATGCATCCTCCTGACCTGTGTCTGGCTTTGAGTACTCCAGGCACAGAATTTCCGATTCATGGGCTTCCACTTTCAGCATTTCACTCAGGGACTGCAGCTCATGCACCCTGTAGAGTGAGGAAGGACAGAAGAAATTGTAACCAGGCAGCAAGAGTAGAGGTCAAGCCCTTCCTTGGATACATCTGCTCTGCCAGTTTTTAAACCTTTTACCTTCATGTTAACATCTTTATATGACCCCAACACACAATAATGAGAATCAGGAAATGAACACTGGTACAATAATATTAATTAAATTAAATATTCAAATTTCACCAGTTTTGTCCTAATGCCCTTTGGATCTAGGCTCCTATGAAGAGCTTCTATTGTACTGAGTTGTTATTTCTTCCTTAGTCTACAACTGCTCTTCACTCTTTCCTTTACTGTCATGATCTTGACATTTTTAGGAGTACTGGTAAGTTACTTTGCTGTATGTATCTCAATTTGAGTTTTTCTGGTGTTCCTTCTGATTGGACTGATGAGTTTATATACTTTTGGCAAAAATACCACAGAAACAATGCTCAGTACAAACAATACTCAGTCATTCTCAGTACATCATGGTGTTGACATAGAGAAGTTAACTTTGATAACTTGGCTTATCTGCTTTATTCACAGTGTCTTCACTGTCAAGTTATTATCTTTCCCTGTAAATAAAAAATACCTTGTCTTTAACCATTTTCAGCCAACCTCTCCTAACTCTCTGTCCTTGAGGACATAATTCCCTCAGCATGTACCATGAGGCAGTTGAGTACACACTCCTGGAATGTCATTACCTCAGTGTGCCCATCCGGTCCCCCGAAGCTAGATGCTGTCCATTGGGGCTGATGCACACAGAGCGGATGCCCACACGGGGGTCCATCAGGGACCCATCAGTTTTGTCTCCTACAGGTAGCTCAGTATCCAGCAGGGCCTGGGTGTTCCCATCCACATAGATGATCTTAATGAGGTCCTAATGAGACAGGTCAGGAGAAGAGGTGGATAAGGCAGGGTTGACACAATATGGCTGCCAGGAAATAGGAATGCGAGACCAGGGTGTACCTTTGTTACATGATCTAGTAACAGCTGGAAAATCACAATCTGGAGACCCAATTCCCAAGAACAAGGTGAGAAGGTTTTAGGGTGGAGGGGCTAAGTGTGGAGTAAGGGCTCCAAGGCCTCAGGGCTCACATTGCTGAGGATGTTACGATGCAGGGTGGAGCCATGTATCCCAGAGCTCTCTGTGTTCCATAAGCGGATGGTGTTGTCAGAGGAACAGGTAATAAAGGAACTGGGGGGCAGACAGGCCTGGTTACTGTCTTTCACCTCAGGGTAGACCTGAAGGGGCAGAGGGAACAGAGTCAGACCTCCAAACAGGCAGCAGGTTCTTTGCCTGCCTAAGGTGATGGGAGGAATAGATTAAACAGATAATGCTGGTCAAGCCTTAGCCCAATGCCTATCACATACAGTAAGCAAGCCATATCTCTTAAACATTGTCATTAATAAGGATGAGAAAAAGCACATTAACTAAACACTTACTACACACCAGGTACTCTCCTATGTTTCCCACTTACATGTTCTCATTTAATTCTCAGAACAAGCAGATGAATTAGGTACATTATTTTACAGCTAATAGAAATTAAGGTTTGACAAAGCAAGGCTAAGACTAGAGAGGGGCATACAGAAGACACTGGAGATGTGTAAATACAAACATCCAAGCTGAGCACCCAAGTATATACTGAGACACAATGATATGGCTGGAGAACTAGGGAGGCAGCAGGAACATAACACTACACTTAGGGATACCTCAACTCCATCCTTATAAAGATATTCCAGAAAACATGGCCAATGGTAACCAGCCTGGCCCACATACCTCCACACTCCAGACGCAGGAAGAATGGTACAAAGCTGAGTACACCTTGCCCACTTTCTTGGGGTCCCTCACATCCCAAACATATATGCTATGATCGTTGTATACACAGGACAGCCACTGATTAGTAGGATCAAAGGTCAAGGCAATGGTGTCTGGATACCTGGCATTGGCTGCTGCAGAGAAGAGGCGACTGTGGGAGAGAGGATAAGGCAAAATGCTGAAAAAAGAGCTGATGAAATGAGCACATGAAAGGAACTAAGAGAGGAGTCAACACACAAAGGAAGGAGCAGGGTAGGGTAAGCTCTCTCTAGACCTGAAAAAAAGAAAAAAGCAGCTCCTGACAGCTGTTAGCTGGGAGCTGACGTGGCACTAGCTGGCTATGAGGTCCTGATGAACCTAAGCAATTTAACAGCATAGAAACACCAGATAGGGCCACGACAGGGCAAAATAAAACAAAACAAAACACAACAACCTACATTAAAACCCAAAAGCGCATAATCATGTATAAGCATGGGTGACAGTAAGGTCACTACCAAGCAACAAAAACAAATTTAGACATTACCCTTTCTTATTCTGATTGTTTTACATTTACCAATTACTGATTTAAAAGCCCCCTACCACCTTTAAGTATCAATTAAGATATTCAAGGGTAGACCTTCTTAATTTCCTAATAACACTCAAAGTAGAGTAAAACTTCACTTCCTTGAGCCATTCCTAAAATCACCCAGCATTAAGACCAAATCCTGCAATAAACACTGTCTAATGTGTGCTTTCTCAATCTGTCATGATGTTGCCTATTGGCCCAGTGGTGAGGACATTTGTTTTCTTAATGCTGAGATGCAATCCACAGTGAAGCTGTAGTCTTTGACCTATTGCAGTGAACATTTCAGGTCCTCCTCACTTTCAGCACATAAGGTATCATTCATAATGTTGATGAGTCTTCCTCGATCCTGATGCCACCTTCTTCTTCATAGAGTTCCCCTTCACGAATTATTTGATTAGTATACTGATTGAATAGGTATGGAGAAAGGATACAATCCTGATGCACACCCTTTAGATTTTAAACCACAGTGTTCCCTTGTTCTATACAGACAACGGCATCTTGGTCTAGGTATGTTGTTGTTGTTGTTATGTGCCGTCGAGTCGCTTGCGACTCATAGCGACCCTATGTACAACAGCCCTAAACTCCGCTCTGTCCT